CGGCATCTCGTGCTGAGTTGCCAAGATCTTCAAATATGTTCAGGCCAATTTTTCAATCTAATTTCTTAAAAGGGGAGGATAAAACGGGAGGATGACACACGGGGTAGGAATATATATCCAAAATTTCAGCCTCCCAGCTTTCCTGGTTACTGAGTTTTTTTCGAAGCAAGCAATGAGAAGCTTGAGGAATGTGAGTCCCCTTGCCTCACTGCCCTCTCGATTGGTATACGGGTTGGAGTGAACAAAAATGTAATTTCTAATGAGCAGCCTGTGTTTGCTTGATATATGAATAAACGTGCGTCTTATGTTAGTCGGGACTTCGCTGGATTCTGGGCCAATTTCAGGTCAGTATGAGCAACGAGAGGCAAGTGATTGCGAAGCCAAACGAGTTCCATTATCGCAGCAACTTCCTCTACAACGCCGCCTGCTCGCTGTGCGCACGTTAGTGGCATTGCCAGTATTCGATTGTTTTGATCGAGAGAGCCGCAACTGCACAAGTAGATGCGAGACAGTGGTAACTGTAGTAGTAAAGATGAGGGAAATGCAGAAGGAAATTAGCACATGTGAAATGGCGGTATCATTATACCAGTGACATATGCATGTGTGTGCGTGTGTGTGTGTGTGTGCGTGTGTGTATGTGCATGTGTGTGTGCATATGTGTGTGTGTGTGCATATGTGTGTGTTTTTGTGTGTGTGTTTTTGTGTGTGCATGTGTGCACATTTATATGTAATTGTGTGTATGTTTGTGTCATTATGTATATATATATGTGTGTCGATTTGAACTCATAAACTCTGCCGGAGCTAAATACTTGTAAGCTGCTGGTGCAAATCTATCGGTGGGACGTCTTTGCTGTCGGTGTCAGCTTGATAATTCACGCCCCTGTTTTATCACAAAAATGGGTCTGAAAATGACTGAACGTGTCAGGTAAAAGTGATGAAGTCTGCCATTACCCAGTGCTATTTTGGAATTCCGTGGGACTTTTCTGTCGGCATATCGGACCAACGACTACCCACTCAACGAGTGTCTTTGTCTTACTGAAAATAATTTGAGATCACAATCGTGTTG